GGAGATGAGACAGTATTGGGGGTAAGGACCTGTAGTAGGGATGTTAGGCGCAGTGGTGGGGTGTTAAGGCCTGTACTGGGGGAGAGGAGCAGTAGGAGCAGTTGTGGTGGGATAGGGACAGTAGTGGGGGGTTTAGTGCAGTAGTGGGGGGTTAGGAGCTGTAGTGGGGGGGTTCGGGCAGTAATTGGGGGATAGGGCTGTAGTGGGGAAATAGAGCAGTAGTGGGGGGTTTGTAGCAGTACTGGTGGGATATGTGCAGTTGTGGTGGGTTAAGAGCACTAGTGGGGGGCTTGGGCCAGTACTTAAGGACAAGGTCTACAATGGGGGGATAGGGGCAGTAGTTGGGGAATAGGGGCAATAATGGGGGGTTAGGAGCAGTGTGTGGGGAGATAGCGGTAGACGTGGGGGTTAGGGATAGTAGTGGGGGTTAGGGGATGTAATGGGTTAATATAATTTTTTTAATTAAACAAAAAACTAAATGTTTCTTCTCCCCCCGCCCCTCTTTACCTTACCTCGGTCCAGGGAGGTGTGGATTCTGTTCCCTGGTGGTCCATTGAGAAATGCAGCTAATTCTGGCCAGTGCCAGGAACTGTATTAGAGTATTGTCGCAGTATTCCATGACAATCCTCTAATATAGTAGGAGGAGCAAGAACTTGGCCTAGAAGCAGAGACCAAGTCCTCCCTCCTCCCACACATCACCAGGGATGGCCTGTGACAGCGGACTATGGCTTCAGGGGGGTCGGCTCATTCTACAGCTGGTGCTACAGCAGCACAACTCATGTGCACGCCTCTCCTGCAGTGCCCTCAATGAGCCATTGCCCTAGGCCACCGCCTAAGTGGCCTAATGGAAGCGCCAGCCCTGCCTGCACCCATTATAGTCCCTATGCCCACTACAGCTCCTGTGCTCCTTCACCCACTACATAAAGCTATGCGCTACAAAAAATATATATAAAAAAATACTACCCTATTGTAAGGCTGGTGAAGAATTATTTAAAAGTGCTTAATTTGCATTGACTTTTATTAATTTATCAATCGCTGGTTTCATCTGTACCTCTGCAGTATTGGGAAGCCCAATTGAACGGCACACACTCGTTGATGGTTCAAAAGGACTACAATTTCAATTGTCTTACACAATAGTATATAAAATAATGAGAATTATACATGCCCTTTATTGGTTCATCCAATAGGGTACTACCCCCTATTTCCTTTAAGGGGCTTAAAGGAAATAGGGGGTAGAGAGACACACCCATTCTTGCAGTCTACAAGATATAGGAGTATGGTGAATAAAGTACTAACAGATGGTCACTGCCATACAAAGAAAGGATACTAATGTATAAGAATGTACAGCTAACTTCCTGTCTAAAATGAACAGAACTTCATAACAGAGCGTGTTAGTCTAGGGGCTTATTCACTAACATGCTGAAATTTAAGAAGTATGAAAATAACATTCTATCAATTCCCTCCTTTGTTCACAAGGACAGAATAATACATGGGTATGTTGCCATACCTCCAAAATTACCTGGCTTGCCCAGTAATCTGGGGTTAGGAAAAAAATAATTTTATTATTTTATTTTTTTCCAAAATGTAGAAACCTGAATGAGAGCCGCAACCGTGCAAGCCCTGCTCCTCTGCACAGAGCAGCTGTTGCTTATAAAACCTGGAGGGCTAAGTGTTGTCTATCAAGACTTATAATATAATAATTTGCGATTTTTATAGCGCTTTTATCCCTGTGAGACTCAAAGCACTTTACAAGTATACAAACATAAAGACATAAAAGTTAGGAGTTTCTGAGGTCAGCTGAGCAGACTGAATGCATGATTGAAGAGGTGGATGTTTTATTTTTTTTATTTATTTTAATTTTTTATTTTATTTTTATGAAGCATATTACAGAAAATACATCTAATTTTAAGTGTCCCATAATAGTTTGTAATAGTTTGTAATATCACAATTATGTTTTTTCTTAATCTCATAATATAAATTTTATAAAAATTTTACACACACATACTGCAGTAATTGTTGGCTGAAACACATATAAAATATAAAACATAAACATAAACAACGCAAACAATGTACTGCGTCAGTTCTAATTGTAAATCTTTCATAGTCTATTTGTGGAAAACAATGAAGACAATAGAGGAGGGAAGTGATTATACTAAAGATTCTTTTGATCTCGTATACTATAAAGGACTAAGTCTAAACCTTATAAGATCAGTTTCATATCTTAAATTACAGTAAAGTTAATAGTTATAATAATTGCTACATTTTCATCTACTGCATGGCAGCAAAACAACCCAGTAATAATAAAACAACTAAATATATCACATTATATATCTTACAGCCTCTCCTTTTGATAACCAATCATTTATCCAAGGGTTCCATATTTTGAGATATTTTTTCTTTTTATTATCTGCTCCCCAATGAAGTTCCTCCACTACCCTAGTATCTTCAACTCTCTCTACCCAGTTTTCTATTGTCTGGATAGTCTAAATATTTAAGCCCACCAGATGGTCAATAGAACTCATGTGTGCTACTTAATTTTAACCTTAGAGCATCTGTTATATTTATACCCAATATCTCACATTTAGTAGTATTTACTTTAATGTTAGACATTAAGCCAAACTTTTCTATTTCTATTTTTACTTGAGTGATTAGATAAGATTTGTTAATGAAAGTAAAATATAATCGGCATATGCAGAATCTTTCAATTCTCCTCCATGGAATGAATATACTCTTATGAATTGATTTTCCCTAATAGCCTGCAGAAAAGGTTCCATAGCTAGAACGAAAAGAAGGAGGGGATAGGGGACATCCCTGCCTTGTTCCATTTCCTATGGAAAATAATTTTGAATACTCTCCATTTACGTTTACTGTACAAGTTGGGCCATTATAAAGAACTTCTATTCATTGTCTAAACCTATCCCCAAACCCCTGCACCTTCAATACAGTAAAAAGATAGGACCGTCCACCCTGTCAAAGGCTTTCTCCGCATCTATAGCCAAAAGCACTACTGGTTTCTTAGACAGTTTTGCCCCATGAATAACACTTAAAATTTTAGTAGTATTATCGCATGCCTCTCTTCCCAGCACAAAGACTGCCTGATCAAGGTAGACCAGTCCAGGTAAAAGGGGTTTGAGACGTTGGGCCAATATTTTAGTGTAAATTTTAAAATCCATATTTATCAAAGAGATTGGTCTAAAACTCCAACACATAAGAGGATCTTTCCCTTGTTTTGGAATAAGTGTAATAGACGTTTGTAACATTGGTGGGGGTAAAGTTATCCCTGGAGCACTAGATTGAACTGTATAAACCTTTAATAACAGATTGTAAGACCATCAGGGCCAGGGCTTTTCCTAGTTGGGAAGGATTTAATTGATCTTTCAAACTCTATACCAGTAATAGGGGTATCCAGAGATTTCAGTTCATTAGACAGAATTTTCTCTAAAATATTTGAGCTAATATAATTACGAATTAAATCTTTAATTCCCGGTGGTCTAGGCAGATTACATAATCCCTGATAGTATGAACAGAATACCTGTATTGTTAAAACAGAAAGAGATGGTGAGAGCACATATAAGACAAAATACAATAATTACCCTTATGTCCAATATAAAACATATTCCTGAGCCACTTAATATAAAAGCTGGCTCAGACTAGGAACGTTGAATGGGTTAATAAAGTGATAGCTGTAATCAAAACGCTAACTGCTTGCTCCTTCTCTCTTTAGAAAATCCAGGATGCAGGATCTCAAATGAAAGCTTTATTCAATATAGCAGCAAAAAAACAGCAGCAGCAAAATTTAAAATTCAGTAGTCCCACTTCTGCACACTAACGCGTTTCAGCCGAAGCCTTTATCAAAGTGTAAGTCTATTCAGTCTGTTCCTTGTTTAAATAGGAGCCTTTTTGCGCCTTTCTCCCGTTCGATAATAAGCTCCTCCCACTTCATTTAGGCACAACCTTATTGGGCAGTCTAGTGTCCATAGCAACTTCAGTTTACTTCCGTGTTCATCAAAAAATGACGTTGAGCTAATACCCTCTCTTAGACAGTCTTTCGTGTTGCAGAATCAAGTCCTATTAGCAACATACTATATACGTGTCATCAGTTACATTTTAAAAACATATTAAGACCAAAGTTGTAACAAAATACCATTATTCTAATACATAAAATATTAAAAAACATTAAAAACTCTCTCTTTCTCAAAAAAAAGGGAAATTAATAGAAAAGGAGAAAAAGAGAGAGAAGAAGGAGGAATAAATCAAAAGGGGAAATAAAAATCTTCTATTTCCGTTTAAAGGCACAGGCATACCGGGAGAGTACATCATATATAAAGTGCACTTATTTTTATTTTTATTCTCACATTCAATATTAATAAAATTGGTCATACCCAGATAAAAAATATGCATAAGTATACTAAAACCATATTTAAAATTAAAAAATAAATATGAATACCGCACTCAAAAAATGATTATAGTGAAATCTAAATTTGTATTAAATTGCAAAGATATTTATTATAACAGTAATTCATAGATTAATCAAGTAAACCTTCTTGAAATTCATTCCAATCATATATATACATAGATTATTGACATATATACACACAAAAAAACCAAAAAAAAAAACCTCCCTGTGCTGAATTTCATGAGCTCTATATCTATTTACACTGGTGGTTGATCTAAAAAATTAATGAATAAAAATGAAGTGTCCAGAAAAAATATAAAAAAGGTAAAAAAGAAAAAAGCAGAAAAAGAAAAAAAGAAAAAAAGAAAAAAGGAAAAAAGAAGAAAAGAAAAAATGTATGTATATTCCAGTCCTAATAATAGTCCAAAGTATAGTGCACTATACAATTCATAAGTAAATGGATGGATCTCACCAAAAAATTCGTCAACTTGGTAGTATATTCAGTAGGAGGGTGGTAAATCTTGTAGATGATATATCTTGAATGAGGGTGAAAATGAGTTATAGCTCGATGAGAAGGTAATCACTTATCCATTCTGTGGAATCTGGTCAGTCTATTGGTCAGTCTTAATCGTGGGCAATCCTGTAATCGGGCTGAAAATGGGCTGCGCGCTCGGGACGTTCCTGTCCCTTCGAAGGCCCCTGTTCCTCTCCGTCCTGCCAAAGTATAAGCATATCGATTTAAATATCCTCATTAGGCGGCAAAACTCTGCCGCATCCACTCCATGCTGCTACTTCCGCCTTCTGACGTCAGCGTACGTCGCTACGTCATACGCATTCAACTCAACTTTATTGTTCACATACATGTTGTGTAATGGCAAAATTAAAGGGAAATCTCAAAATGAACAAATAAAGTTAAAGTAACTAATAAGTATGAAATACAAGTTATTACAAAGGCAATTAAATTGTATGTGAAAACTGAATAGTGCTGTAGACTAAAAGAGTCTTAGACCAAAAAATCAAAAGTAAACTAGAGAGAAAAAGGAACAGAAAATAATAATTTAATGTTTCTAAATAAATCTAACTGATGTATGGTTATTATGTAGCTCACCTGTAACAGATGATCAAGAGAACAGGAATATCTGTAGCTATAGATCAGTAGAATACTCAGCTAAAAATGAAAAAAAGAGAAAAAAATAATAAAAAATAGATTATCTATGTCTCATGCAACAATGGAAAACAGTGTTCAAAAAATTCCAAAACACATTTAAAAAGAAAAAAGAAAAGAAAGAAAAAATACTAAAAAGAATAAAAATGAAAAAAGAAGAAAAAAATAAAGAAAAAAATTGAAAAAAATTGGAAAAATAAAAAAATTTAATAATATAGAAAAAATATCTTGGATGAAAAAAGATCCTCATTAAAGAATATTTTTTGTTTGTAGCTAAATTTGAAAAAAAAAATTGAAAAATAACATGAATAGAAAATAGAATAAAAATGAAAAACCAGAGTATGCAACTCACCTGTCTCATAATGCCCCACCGTGCCCCTGGGTCCCGTATGTGAGGAACCCTGTGCTGATGGCAGGTAGCGGACCCAAAGAGGTCAAAATGTTGGCAGGAAAGGACACCGGACCAAAACTGGTCAAGGGGAGCCTCTGTAAGGAGCAGAAAATCATAGAGCAGGCAATAAATGCAAAAGAAAGACAAAACTTCTCATAAGAAATGTTTAAGGTCATAGTCTTCATTAAGACCTAATGGTGACAGAGTCTCCAAGGTACTTATCCATTTTGTTTCTCTCTGTAATAAGAGCTTGTGTCTATCCCCTCCTCTACGTAGAGGTGGGATTCTGTCCAAGACTTGAAACCTTAATTGGTTTACATTATGACCATATGCTTTAAAATGTCTGGGTACCGGAGCCTCCACTTTATTGTGTTGTAATGCTGCCCTAATGCTCCTTTTATGCTCCCCTATCCGCTCTTTCACTGGCCTGATGGTCTCCCCCACGTACAGGAGTCCACAGGGACACTTAAGAGCATACACAACATAGTCAGAGTTGCATGTAAAAAACTCTTTAACATAAAATTTCTTACCTGATCTGGGATGAACAAAATATTCCCCCTTGATCACACTGTTACAGTGTGAGCAATTTAAACATGGAAAAGTGCCCTTCTTAGGTTCTGAAAAAAATCTGGTTTGTTTCTTCGAACTGCCAATATCTGACCTTACTATCATGTCCCTCAGGTTCGAGGCCCTCTGATATGCAAAAAGTGGAGACTGTTGGAATATCGGGGGTAGTTGAGTATCCCCCTGAAAAAGTTGCCAATGTTTTAATATAACATGTCTTATCTCCTTATTAAGTGGGGTATATGGTGTTACCAACGTAATCCTTTCTATTTTGTCTCTGGCCCCTGCACCTGAAAGGGTTTCTTGTCGAGAAAGATTATCAACCTTCTGTCGTTGATTGTCAACTACATGTGTGGGATAGCCCCTCTCTATGAATTTATTGGCCATAAAATCTAAACCCGTCATCACTTTATCTTCCTGTGATACAATCCTTTTCACCCTTAACAATTGACTAAATGGTAATCCATTCTTCAGATGGATTGGATGAAAGCCTTTGTAAGTCAATAAATTATTACGGTCAGTAGGTTTTATATACAAATCGCTATGAAGGCAATTTTGTACTCTCTGTACCTGAACATCTAGAAAAGGGACTGTAATAGTATCACAGCACATAGTGAATTTAATGTTTTCATCTTGTGTGTTTAATGACTCAAAAAATTCCTGTAAATGGGCCCTAGTGCCGCTCCAACATATGAACACGTCATCTATGTATCTTTTCCAAACTATGCATTTGGAAAATAAAGGATGTTGGTAGATGCATGTTTCCTCCATTCGATTCATATAAATGTTAGCATATGTTGGAGCGACATTCGAGCCCATAGCGGTACCCTTAATCTGTTTGTAGTACTTATCACCAAACAAAAAATAATTCTCAGTCAAAATGAAAGTAAGTAATTCCCTGATATATTTTCGGGTCTCTCCTTGCTGGGTTAGTCTCGGGTCTCTATCTAATGTCCAATCTACTGCCTCAATCCCTCTATTGTGGTCAATTGAAGTGTATAGTGACTGTACATCCATGGTTACCAACCAAAAGTCTCCAGATGGGATATGTATATCTGCTAGTAATGTAAGGAATGTAGTAGTGTCTTTGAGGTATGATTTCTGCATTGGGACATATTTGATCAAAAATGTATCCAGTATTTCTGCTGGATGTTGGAATATAGACCCAGTTCCACTAACTATTGGTCTGCCTGGTGGAAAAAGAGGGTTCTTATGTATTTTAGGGAGGGTATAGAACACCGGAATTCTAGGATATTTGAGATTCATATACTTATATTCTCCATCAGAGATAATGTTTTTAGAGAGGGCCCATTGGTTAAGTTTATCTAGTATGCATTTCAGATTATGCGTAGGATCCTGACTGATAGGTAAGTAGTTTGTGTTATCCAATAGCTGGGTCTCGATTTCTTTTACATAATATGTGCGATCCATGATCACCAGTGCTCCCCCTTTATCTGCCGGTTTGATAATGATGGATGTATCTTTCTTTAAATTATTGATATTCAACCAATCTTGTTTGGTAAAATTAATACTTTTTCCATGATAACTATGGGTATATTGATGTTTTCTCCTAAGTTTATACATATCTTTTTTCACAAGATTGGTGAATAAATCAATAGATGTATTGATGTTGTGTGGTGTGAAAGTGCTTTTAGGTTTCAAACCTGTATCCAGGGAGAGAACAGTGCATGGATCAGACTCAGTGACGTAATGTCCCACAGCCTCCATATTTCCTTCATCCTGTGGATATCCCTGTGTGGTCTGTATAGTATTGTCAGTAGATTCTGCTGTTGTACCAAAATTTTGCTGATCTGTTGAAAAGAATGCACGTAATTTGAGTTGGCGAAAGAATTTATACAAACTGACGTCATATTGATGCCACACTATATGGGGTGTGGGAATGAAGGAGAGTCCCTTATTCAGGGTCCCCTCCTCCGTAGATGTTAGAGGCCTACCTGAAATGTTGTGTATTAGAGATTGCGTCTCGATTGGGGCGGTCGGCCTTGTCTTTTCTCCCGAATGCCTCTTGTTGTAACCCCCCTGCCTGATGTTTCTTCGTGTCGTGTACCTCTCTCTAAAAAAGTCATCCCTGAAGACGAGGAGGCAGAGGAGGAGGATGTAGCCCCCTCTGTATCCGAGCGCCATCTCTGTGTGGTTGTGTCTCTGTTGGTTCTATATGGACGATTATCCACTCTAGAGTACCAGGTATAAACTTGATCTCTTTGATAATCTAATTCGTCTCTATGGAATTTTTTCTTTTTGAATTCTTCCGTTTCTCTCTGATACTCTTTTAATTTGTCTTCTATTTGTTTTTTGAGTGTCTCTAGGTCAGTTGATGCAGTGACTGCTGCTAATTCTTGTTCCGTTGCTGCTATCTCTTTAATAAGTTTAGTTAATTCTTTCTGTAGAGATTCTATAGTTAGTACCATGAGGTCCACTGAGCATTTGTTTAAAATTTTGTACCATACTGTTCGGTGTTCAACATTATCTCTACATAATGTGGGATGTAATCTAACCCTCAGGCCCCTTGGAATTCTCTTTTGTCTAAGATATTCTCCTAGGGTATTTACATGTAGTTCCCAACTTATTTTTCTTTTTAAATCTCTCTCAAGTTTATGAGCTATTCCACGTTCACTCTCATTAGTTAAAAACTCCCTAGCTCCTCTAAGGGCTGATGTGATGCGATTGATATCACCCTCTGTATAGGCAAATGTTGCCATAAAGTCAACTGTATATAGATGAAAAAATAATCCTATGAATTGGCAATTTGATATACTAATAATCTCAAAACGATATTTTATATTTTATACTAAAAAAATTGTCGCATAACGGTGCTCCACACTAGGGAAAACAATATACAAAAAACACAATAAGTGTTGGCACTCAATTATGCAAGGTGCAGGTATTCGAGGTTTAACTCCACAACAACCTCCTAATCTAAATCCAAAAATAAATATGAATACCGCACTCAAAAAATTATTATAGTGAAATCTAAATTTGTATTAAATTGCAAAGATATTTATTATAACAGTAATTCATAGATTAATTCATAGATTAATCAAGTAAACCTTCTTGAAATTCATTCCAATCATATATATACATAGATTATTGAACCCTCTTTTTCCACCAGGCAGACCAATAGTTAGTGGAACTGGGTCTATATTCCAACATCCAGCAGAAATACTGGATAAATTTTTGATCAAATATGTCCCAATGCAGAAATCATACCTCAAAGACACTACTGCATTCCTTACATTACTAGCAGATATACATATCCCATCTGGAGACTTTTGGTTGGTAACCATGGATGTACAGTCACTATACACTTCAATTGACCACAATAGAGGGATTGAGGCAGTAGATTGGACATTAGATAGAGACCCGAGACTAACCCAGCAAGGAGAGACCCGAAAATATATCAGGGAATTACTTACTTTCATTTTGACTGAGAATTATTTTTTGTTTGGTGATAAGTACTACAAACAGATTAAGGGTACCGCTATGGGCTCGAATGTCGCTCCAACATATGCTAACATTTATATGAATCGAATGGAGGAAACATGCATCTACCAACATCCTTTATTTTCCAAATGCATAGTTTGGAAAAGATACATAGATGACGTGTTCATATGTTGGAGCGGCACTAGGGCCCATTTACAGGAATTTTTTGAGTCATTAAACACACAAGATGAAAACATTAAATTCACTATGTGCTGTGATACTATTACAGTCCCTTTTCTAGATGTTCAGGTACAGAGAGTACAAAATTGCCTTCATAGCGATTTATATATAAAACCTACTGACCGTAATAATTTATTGACTTACACAAGCTTTCATCCAATCCATCTGAAGAATGGATTACCATTTAGTCAATTGTTAAGGGTGAAAAGGATTGTATCACAGGAAGATAAAGTGATGACGGGTTTAGATTTTATGGCCAATAAATTCATAGAGAGGGGCTATCCCACACATGTAGTTGACAATCAACGACAGAAGGTTGATAATATTTCTCGACAAGAAACCCTTTCAGGTGCAGGGGCCAGAGACAAAATAGAAAGGATTACGTTGGTAACACCATATACCCCACTTAATAAGGAGATAAGACATGTTATATTAAAACATTGGCAACTTTTTCAGGGGGATACTCAACTACCCCCGATATTCCAACAGTCTCCACTTTTTGCATATCAGAGGGCCTCGAACCTGAGGGACATGATAGTAAGGTCAGATATTGGCAGTTCGAAGAAACAAACCAGATTTTTTTCAGAACCTAAGAAGGGCACTTTTCCATGTTTAAATTGCTCACACTGTAACAGTGTGATCAAGGGGGAATATTTTGTTCATCCCAGATCAGGTAAGAAATTTTATGTTAAAGAGTTTTTTACATGCAACTCTGACTATGTTGTGTATGCTCTTAAGTGTCCCTGTGGACTCCTGTACGTGGGGGAGACCATCAGGCCAGTGAAAGAGCGGATAGGGGAGCATAAAAGGAGCATTAGGGCAGCATTACAACACAATAAAGTGGAGGCTCCGGTACCCAGACATTTTAAAGCATATGGTCATAATGTAAACCAATTAAGGTTTCAAGTCTTGGACAGAATCGCACCTCTACGTAGAGGAGGGGATAGACAGAAGCTCTTATTACAGAGAGAAACAAAATGGATAAGTACCTTGGAGACTCTGTCACCATTAGGGCTTAATGAAGACTATGACCTTAAACATTTCTTATGAGAAGTTTTGTCTTTCTTTTGCATTTATTGCCTGCTCTATGATTTTCTGCTCCTTACAGAGGCTCCCCTTGACCAGTTTTGGTCCGGTGTCCTTTCCTGCCAACATTTTGACCTCTTTGGGTCCGCTACCTGCCATCAGCACAGGGTTCCTCACATACGGGACCCAGGGGCAAGGTGGGGCATTATGAGACAGGTGAGTTGCATACTCTGGTTTTTCATTTTTATTCTATTTTCTATTCATGTTATTTTTCAATTTTTTTTTTCAAATTTAGCTACAAACAAAAAATATTCTTTAATGAGGATCTTTTTTCATCCAAGATATTTTTTCTATATTATTAAATTTTTTTATTTTTCCAATTTTTTTCAATTTTTTTCTTTATTTTTTTCTTCTTTTTTCATTTTTTTCATTTTTATTCTTTTTAGTATTTTTTCTTTCTTTTCTTTTTTCTTTTTAAATGTTTTTTGGAATTTTTTGAACACTGTTTTCCATTGTTGCATGAGACATAGATAATCTATTTTTTATTATTTTTTTTTATTTTTTTCATTTTTAGCTGAGTATTCTACTGATCTATAGCTACAGATATTCCTGTTCTCTTGATCATCTGTTACAGGTGAGCTACATAATAACCATACATCAGTTAGATTTATTTAGAAACATTAAATTATTATTTTCTGTTCCTTTTTCTCTCTAGTTTACTTTTGATTTTTTGGTCTAAGACTCTTTTAGTCTACAGCACTATTCAGTTTTCACATACAATTTAATTGCCTTTGTAATAACTTGTATTTCATACTTATTAGTTACTTTAACTTTATTTGTTCATTTTGAGATTTCCCTTTAATTTTGCCATTACACAACATGTATGTGAACAATAAAGTTGAGTTGAATGCGTATGACGTAGCGACGTACGCTGACGTCAGAAGGCGGAAGTAGCAGCATGGAGTGGATGCGGCGGAGTTTTGCCGCCTAATGAGGATATTTAAATCGATATGCTTATACTTTGGCAGGACGGAGAGGAACAGGGGCCTTCGAAGGGACAGGAACGTCCCGAGCGCGCAGCCCATTTTCAGCCCGATTACAGGATTGCCCACGATTAAGACCTGTCAGACTGACCAGATTCCACAGAATGGATAAGTGATTACCTTCTCATCGAGCTATAACTCATTTTCACCCTCATTCAAGATATATCATCTACAAGATTTACCACCCTCCTACTGAATATACTACCAAGTTGACGAATTTTTTGGTGAGATCCATCCATTTACTTATGAATTGTATAGTGCACTATACTTTGGACTATTATTAGGACTGGAATATACATACATTTTTTCTTTTCTTCTTTTTTCCTTTTTTCTTTTTTTCTTTTTTTCTTTTTCTGCTTTTTTCTTTTTTACCTTTTTTATATTTTTTCTGGACACTTCATTTTTATTCATTAATTTTTTAGATCAACCACCAGTGTAAATAGATATAGAGCTCATGAAATTCAGCACAGGGAGGTTTTTTTTTTTGGTTTTTTTGTGTGTATATATGTCAATAATCTATGTATATATATGATTGGAATGAATTTCAAGAAGGTTTACTTGATTAATCTATGAATTACTGTTATAATAAATATCTTTGCAATTTAATACAAATTTAGATTTCACTATAATCATTTTTTGAGTGCGGTATTCATATTTATTTTTGGATTTAAATTAGGAGGTTGTTGTGGGGTTAAACCTCGAATACCTGCACCTTGCATAATTGAGTGCCAACACTTATTGTGTTTTTCATATTTAAAATTAATACAACTATTAAGCAAATTTATGTGATCTTTAGTAAAATTAAATAAATAATTTCATTCTTTTAACATATTAAATATAGGTGTTGATTTCGAAATCTACATTTAATCCCCTCGGTATAAGTGTATCCAAATTAAAAATCCATTTCATCTCATTTTTATTTAGGAGATTATCCTTATCGCCACCTCTCCAGTGTATTTTAATGTGATCTATTGCAAAGAAATCCAAACCAACTGGATCTCCATCATGATACTCCGAAAAATGTTTGGATACACAATGATTGGGCAATCTTCTCTGGATGTTGTATATATGTTCCCTAATTCGTATTTTTAGTGGGCGAGACGTTTTCCCTACGTATTGTAGGCCACAAGGGCATGTTATCATATATACAACATCAACAGTATTGCACGTAATAAAATGTTTAATTTCATACTCTTTTTTAGTATTAAAAGAAACAAATTTAAAAATTCTTCTATTTTTCCCAGTTCTTGTTTTACACCCTCTACAATTTCCACAGTAAAAAAATCCACAGGTATGCCTGTGCCTTTAAACGGAAATAGAAGATTTTTATTTCCCCTTTTGATTTATTCCTCCTTCTTTTCTCTCTTTTTCTCCTTTTCTATTAATTTCCCTTTTTTTTGAGAAAGAGAGAGTTTTTAATGTTTTTTAATGTTTTATGTATTAGAATAATGGTATTTTGTTACAACTTTGGTCTTAATATGTTTTTAAAATGTAACTGATGACACGTATATAGTATGTTGCTAATAGGACTTGATTCTGCAACACGAAAGACTGTCTAAGAGAGGGGATTAGCTCAACGTAATTTTTTGACGAACACAGAAGTAAACTGAAGTTGCTACGGACGCTAGGATGCCCAATAAGGTTGCGTCTAAATGAAGTGGGAGGAGCTTATTACCGAACGGGAGAAAGGTGCGAAAAGGCTCCTATTTAAACAAGGAACAGACTGAATGGACTTACACTTTGATAAAGGCTTCGGCTGAAACGTGTTAGTGTGCAGAAGTGGGACTACTGAATTTTAAATTTTGCTGCTGCTGTTTTTTTGCTGCTATATTGAATAAAGCTTTCATTTGAGATCCTGCATCCTGGATTTTCTAAAGAGAGAAGGAGCAAGCAGTTAGCGTTTTGATTACAGCTATCACTTCATTAACCCATTCAATGTTCCTAGTCTGAGCCAGCTTTTATATTAAGTGGCTCAGGAATATGTTTTATATTGGACATAAGGGTAATTATTGTATTTTGTCTTATATGTGCTCTCACCATCTCTTTCTGTTTTAACCATTCATTTATGTGAGGTGGAGTGACCCACACCCTGGTGATTGTAGCACTTTGCCTTATATTGTTTTTTCACCATATATACACCTATTTTAGAATACCTGTATTATTGATTCTGTTGTCAAATGTTGATTTCCCATTTCATCTTTTATTTTTGCTATATAGATGGACTGGAGGCTTTTTTTCAATGCTTTTGCTAACGATTCTCCACACTTATTACCGTGTGAATAAAAGGATCTACGTGTAAGCTGAATCGCTTGCTGCGCCTGTAAATTAAGTAGACTTTTCAGTTCCATTCTATATACTACTCAGTGTTGATAAGTCTTGGAGGATGGTTTTAACTTATGAACCAAGTCTTCAATTTCTATTTATGAGTTAATGTCTCTAAAGTAGCCTGGCGTTCCTTTTTTATATGTGCCCCCCACTTAATTAAAATCCCTCTAATAACACATTTATGTGCTTCCCAAATCCCCAAATCCTGATTATTTATTGATTTAATATCATCAAAATACAGTGCTATGGTGGTTTTTAATTCACCGTGTACTCTTAGATTGTCTAATAATGACTCATTGAAACGCCACCTGTGTTTTGGGGTATTAATCCCTGGGAGCCTTAAATTTAAATAAACTGGAGCATGGTCTGACCATGTAAAGCTCCCAATTGACACATTTTTAATCAAATGGAAATGACTGTGGGGTAAAAACATCATATCCAATTTTAATTAACTGTTAGCCGAGTGGGAAAAAAAGTATGATCTCTCCCAGTCGGATTCGTAGTTCGCCAGCTGTCCGCCATCGGGTTGGCGTGTAAAATTTTCTGGATGCTTAAGATAATCCTTTACTTTAAATGTACCAATCTGTGATTGGTCTAATACTAAATTCCAGTACTCTCCTACCACCAAGAGACCTTCCTTTAACGCATCTAATCTGTCCAGGATACATCTAATAAATGCTACTTGTTGTTTATTTGGGACATAGACATTTGCAAATGTAAACTTTATATTATTAATCGTGCCCTTTACAAAAACAAATCTACCCTGGGGATCTGTAACTGAGCCTATCAAGTTAAAAACAATCTTGTTTGAAAAAAGAATAGCTACCCCTCTTGATTTCCCTGCAAAGTAGTTACTATAGAATCCCTGTGAAATACATTTTGATCATAATATGGGTGCCGAGTCTCCTCTGAGGTGGGTCTCTTGGACCTCAGCTGAGCTTCTATGCATCTCATTCAAACAAATTGTATGTTTTTCAGGAGTATTCAACCCTTTAACATTCAATGTCATAATCTTAAATTGTGCCATGTACATACCAAAATAAGAAAGGAAGAAGAGAAATAAATGTTCTCCACCGCCATGCAGCAGCCTCATCCCATCTAGAAGTAATACATATTCATTTAGTTGAGTTCCAAAGGGATCATTATTAACACTATACACAATACGCTACTAAACAACAAAAACATAAAAGGAAAAAACAAAAAACCCATTTGAGATGATGAGACTTGTCAGGCACAAAAAAAAGACCTGCAAGAAAATCTGAGCACCTCACGGGTAGAGTTGAGCGAAACCGAACGTACCAAACATTAAGGTTTTTGGACCCCGAACACGGACATATCACTGTATGTTCGGGTTGGAGTTCGGTGTTCAGCGATTTAATGTTGCATTTTCAAAGGCTGCAGGGCAGCCAATCAACAAGCGGTTGACTCATGTGCCCTTAGAAGCCATCACAGCCATGCCTACTAATGTAAGTCAAATATAAGCTTCAAATACCGCTGTTACATCAGAGTTTTAAAAAGTTAATTTTTTTTGGTGCGAAATAGTACATTAGTGGGGTAGTACATTAGTAGGGTGCACTTCATATCTGAGAGTCAAATAGAATCGTGAAATACTGCTGTCACATTGCAGTTTTAAAACTTACAAATTTTTGGGTGCTAAATAGTACATTTTGTGTCCTGTTCTTCATATCTGTGAGTCAAATAGAAGCGTCAAATAGTGCACTTACTGCGCAGTTGTAAACCCCCTTATTCTAATTTAGGGCCCCCACCCCCCCCACTCAGAGGTGGGGGCCAGGGGAAGGACAATAGATCCCCCCACTCATTCTTATTTAGGGTCCCCACCCACCGCTCAGGGGTGGGGGACGGGGGTGAGGACAGTAGGTTCCCCCCTCATTGTTCTGTAGGGCCCCCACCTGCCGCCCAGGGGTGGGGACTGGGGGGAGGACAGTAGGTCCCCCCTCATTGTTATGTAGGGCCCCCACCCACCCTGCAGGGGTGAGGGCCGGGGGGAGGAGAGCAGGTCCCCCCCTTAATCTTATTTAGGGCCTACTGTCCTCCCTCCCGGCGACAGTAGGTCCCCCTCATTGTTATGTAGGACCCCCACCCGCCGCGTAGTGGTGGGGGCTGGGGGGAGGACAGTAGGTCCCCCCCTTACTGATATTTAGGGCCCCCACCTCCCGTTCAGGGGTGGGGGCCGGTGGGAGGACAATAGGTCCCCCCTCATTCTTATTTAGGGCCACCACCCACCACTCAAGGGTGGGGGCTGGGGGGGAGGTCAGTAGGTCCCCCCTCATTGTTATATAGGGCCCCCACCTGCTGCACATGGGTGGGGGCTGGGGAGCGGACAATAGGTCCCCCCCCCTTATTTTACTTTAGGGCCCCCACCCGCCATTCAGGGGTGGGGGCCAATAGGTTTTTATTTTTTTATTTTTTTTTTACAGTGAGCAGCCACTGGCTGCTCCCTATTTACTAGACATGCCCCTACTTGTGGTATAGCGAGTAGGGGCTGAATTTACTAATACTAAGTAATCTTTACTTAGTATTAGTAAATGTTGCTGAAAAACCAATTTGGGTCTTTCAGCCTTTTGGTAGATAGCTCCCTAATACCGTGGGAATTAGGGAGTTATCTACTAAGGGACTGCTTATTTTATGTTAAAAATACAAATGCATGGGTTAATGTTGGCATATCATCTGGTGGAATTAAGTGTTGTATCCTGGCTATGTTTTTCAGATGAAAGTAGGCAGTTTTTTTTAATGGAGGAAATCTATGGTTTAAATTATAGTCCAGAGTCAATCAGCACTCCAAGGTTTCTTACCTTTGATGAACTGATGACTTTAGATCCACCAAGTTCCAGACCAGTTGGGTGATCATGGGATATTTTTGTTGCCCGGGGTCCCCTCACCAAGAGTAACTCTGTTTTGTCCGGGTTCACTTTAAGCCAACTAGCATTCATCCATTCTATAAG